AATTTTTGCCTGAACCGCCCTTTCGGGTTTTCGGTTCACCGGGATACCCATTTTTGCCCAAGCCGCCCTTTCGGGTTTTCGACTTGTCGGGTTATTTTATGCGTAGTATCTTTTGACTATGTCTGCGTTCGCAGGGTGCGGCAAATCGTCGCCGTCCATGGTAGTCAGAATCATTGCACCACCAGAAAATATGCTCTTGATCACAAATGGTCCTTCATATGTAGGAGTCCATTTACCCCTGGGATCACTTTGCGGCAAGATAATCCGCTTGATTACGAGATCTCCGACTTGATACACTTGACGTCTGACTTTCTTATTGAAGGCCTTGATCATCCGTTTTTGATACGTCTGACCATGGCATATAGCAACAAGTCGCTTTTCGTCGATCAGATTGAGTTGATCAAGTCGGGTCTGCATCCAATCATCTTCATTCAAACCTGCATCCTTCATAATCCTTAGAGAAGGGATCTGGACTTCCATAGGCAAAACAGCTTCCATGCCATAAACCAAAGAAAATGGGGTTGCCCCAGTTGAAGTACGTGTCATCGTACGGTATCCATGTAGAGCAAACGGTAACATCTCATGCCAGTCTTTGTAAGTGACTGTCATTTTCTGAATGATCTTCTTAATGTTTTTGTTCGCAGCTTCAACAACACCGTTCATCTTCGGCCGATAGGGAGATGAATTGTGATGATAAATCTTGAACTGTTCGCACAATGCAATGATCATCGTGTTATTCAGATTCGTACCGTTGTCTGTGATGATCCTGTCTGGAACACCATACCGACATATGAGATTTTGCTTGATAAAGCGGGCAACCACATTTTTAGTAACAGAGGCGAAGGAAGCTGCTTCGACCCATTTGGTGAAATAGTCAATGGCAACCAGGATGAAGCGATGTCCGTTGGAAGCCGTGGGCTTGATCTCTCCAATCATATCAATGCCCCACATTGCAAAGGGCCACGGAGCAGTCAGGACGTTGAGAGGAACCGAAGGGATATGAACTTTGTCAGCATAGACTTGACACTTGTGGCAAGTACGGGAATGTTGATGGCAGTCAGCTTCCATGGTAGACCAGTAATAGCCTGCCCTTAGGATCTTCTTAGCCATTGTATGCCCGCTCAAGTGAGTGCCAAATGTGCCGCTGTGTATATCAGTCATGATCAACTCTACTTCAGCTTTATCTACGCATCGGAGTAACACACAATCATGGCTTCATTTGTAAAGGATGCCGTTGCTCAGGAAGAATTTAGCAGCGAATTTCCTTAAGAACTTCTTGTCATTTACGGAAGCTCCTTCAGGATAATCTCTGGTCTCGAGATACCTTTTGATTTCATGGAACCAAGGTTGTTCCACTACTTCTTCGGTATTAATCTCGTGACAATGCGCAGGTTCATCCATTCGCTCGATGGTGATTTTGGGAGCCTCGTTATCCCAGTTAAGTTTAAACATGGAGGACATTGTGGCTAGAGCATCTGCTAGCTGATTTTCTTCTCGCGGGAAATGCTCGAAGGTAATTTGCTCGAAATGAGGCAACAATGTCAGGACATGTTCTTTGTATGGGATAAGATTAGGATGCTTGGTATCCCACTCTCCTTTGATTTGACTGATAACCAAAGCCGAGTCCCCGAATACGATCAAAGATTTGATCCCCAAGTCTATAGCAGCCTTGAGACCAAAGATGCAAGCTTCATACTCAGCCATGTTGTTTGTGCAGCTGAAGCAAAGTCGGGCCGTGAAAGGAGTGTGACAACCTTCCGGAGAAATGAGTACTGCGCCGATACCATTTCCGAGTGCATTTGAAGCACCATCAAAGTACAGGGTCCATCGGGATCCCTTTTCGGGTCCGTCATACGGTCCGTTACCTTCAATGTTGTCCAGATTCATGATGTCCTCGTCTGGGAAATCAAATCTCATGGGTTGATAATCTTCGATAGCCTGGTGATCCAGATGGTCAGCTAGTACACTCCCTTTTATAGCTTTTTGGGTGGTGTACTGGATGTCATACTCAGTTAAGATCATTTGCCATCTAGCTATCCTTCCAGATAAAGCGGGCTTTTCGAAGATATACTTGATAGGATCCATTTTGGAAATCAATAAGGTAGTATGAGTCAACATATACTGTCTTAGTCGGCGAGCAGCCCATACCAAAGCGCAGCAAGTTTTCTCGAGCAGTGAGTAGCGAGTCTCACAGTCGGTAAACTTTTTGCTAAGGTAATAAATAGCATGCTCTTTTCGACCAGACTCGTCATACTGGCCCAAAACACACCCCATTGAGTTATCCAAGACGGTCAAATACATGATCAATGGTCTTCCTTCGACGGGTGGCATCAGAATAGGAGGTTCTAGCAAATACTCCTTGATTCTATCAAAAGCAGCTTGACAATTGTCGTTCCACTCGACTACCTGATCTTTTTTCAAGAGTTTGAAAATTGGCTCACAGGTAGAAGTCAGATGTGAGATGAATCTGGCAATATAGTTTAAGCGCCCCAAGAATCCTCTAACTTCCTTCTCAGTACGGGGAGCAGGCATCTCTTGTATTGCTTTTACTTTTGCAGGATCGACTTTGATGCCTTTGTTGCTTACAATGAATCCTAGGAGTTTACCAGACCTAACTCCAAAAATGCATTTACTTGGATTCAGCCTGAGCTTGTATTCTTTTAACCTGGCAAACAGCTTCTCCAGATGTTCAAGGTGCTCTTCCTCTGTTTGTGACCGAGCTATCATATCGTCTACGTAAACTTCAATCTCATGATGTATCATATCATGAAATAAAGCTACCATGGCGCGTTGATAAGTTGCCCCTGCATTCTTCAGCCCGAACGACATCACTTTGTAACAGAAAATGCCCCATTGTGTGACGAAAGTAGTTTTCTCCATGTCCTCGGGGGCCATTTTGATTTGATTGTAGCCCGAGAATCCATCCATGAAGGAAAACACTTTGTGCTGAGCTGTATTGTCGATCAAAATGTCAATGTGAGGTAGCGGAAAATCATCTTTGGGGCTGGCCCTATTCAAATCCCGGTAGTCCACACACATCCTGACTTTGCCATCTTTCTTAGGTACTGGCACAATGTTAGCGACCCATTGAGGATAGGACGTAACAGCCAGAAAGCCAGCATCGAATTGCTTCATTACTTCTGCTTTGATCTTTTCGGACATGTCAGGCCTCATTCGGCGAACTTTTTGCTTGATCGGTGGACAGTCTTCTCTTGTGGGGAGACGGTGAACCACGATGTCCGTGTCTAAACCCGGCATGTCTTCATAAGACCAAGCGAAGATTTCAACATACTCATTCAACAATTGGATCAGGCTTTCCTTGACATCCGGTTTCAAATTGGCACCCACTTGCACCTCCTTCCGGTCTTCCTCGGTCCCCAAGTTGACAGTTTCTAATGAATCTTCATGCGGTAAGATGGCCCTTTCCTCTTGTTGCAGAAGTCTGGCTAGTTCCCCGGGTACTTCACAACCTTCGTCATCTTCATACTCGGCTAGATTGACCAGATCTTCAGAGTTATTGAAAGATATAGCAGAATAGTCCCCCATGGAATCCGGAGTGGATGGGTACCTGCATTGGTGAGTGTGGGTGTGTGTAAGGGATAGCCATCCTTAAACAAAAATGCAAAAGGAAAGAAAAATGAACACAAGCAGTTTATCAAATGAAAAACGTCCAATGAATTATTAAACATGGCATATGGATATGAAAAGTAATCAAAACCCTTACAAGTGGACCTACATGCCTCGGGCAAGGCAGGAGGTGAAAAGATAGTGTACGGATTGTTTGAAAGTAAATATTACAGACCAAATAAGAAATGTTTAACAGATAAATTACTGATGAATAAAAGTGATGGGGATAAAGTATTTTGCCTCCCAGTTGCTCAATCCTCCTTTGATAGTTGGATAAATCCACTCTTCAATGTTGCTCTCTTTGTCTTCATCCTCCAAAGCGTTGATTCCGCAGAGAGAAATTTTGACTGGCGCTCTTTCAATCTTCGACCGGCGCATAGCTTTTTGGCCTGCGGTAGTGAACCCTAATCCAAATTTGTCTGTCTTATGTGGAATCACTACAAGAAAATTGGCAGATTGCGACAGGTATTTTTGTAGATTACGACGGTTAAAACCGTCACAATTTGCTTTCCACGACGGTTGCTTTACCGTCGCAGAAGTGTGTGTCCCCAACCTATTTCGCGACGGTTACAAAAACTGTCGTTCAAGTTTACGACGGGTTGATACCGTCGTGACTATCTATTGAGTTTCTTTTAATTATTGATGGCGACGGTTCGATACTGTCGTGAATATCTTTTGAAATTGATTAAATTGTTTATGGCGACGGTTCGATACCGTCATGACTTTTGTTGATTATTTTTAATTGTTGATTACGACGGTTCGGTACTGTCGCCATGACTTTTGTTTATGTCTTGATTTTTTTTTATTTTTCTATTATATATATTTTTTATTTAAATTATTATCTATGTAAAAAAATTTAAATATAGTTTTTTTTTGTGTTATTTTTTTCTTTAAATTATTTCTTCTTTAATATATTTATTTATAGTATCATTTTTTGTTTTATTTTCTATCACTTTGTAATATAGTAAAAATAATTTCAACTATCTCACCAATTCGGCTGTTTGAATCATGTCATGATGACCTGTTGAGCGAAGTGCCCAGAGTAGGATAAAGAAAAGATGTTTACTTGGAAAAATCAAAATAAAAAGTAAATTGCATTAATTTGGAAAAATAATCAAAAGCCAAAAGCTGGTCATATTAGTATCAAAAGATTCAAACATTATCTCAAATATGAAGAGTTCACAATTTATGTCAACAATATTAAGGAAACAGGGATACGTTAAGACGTGTAACAAAGGGGAAACCCCAATAAAAGCATCTAATTGAAGTTTTGCATCCAATATAGATTGGAGATGGTATAATATATGAGTTCATTATTTCCCATCATAAAAATATGTAGCCAAAATAACAGATATATACTTAAGGTTGTGAGATCATTTCATGGTCAAGATTTTGATTATTGATGCAGTGACCACACGATGCAGAACCACAACGGAGTCCCCATTAACACATAGTCCCTTTGTATTGGCACATTGAAGGGTAAATTCTATTGCATCTTCTGTTGTTTCAGCACGAGAAGCTCTAGCAGAGGCTGCAATTAGTATTGGAATTAATCCTCGGAATATCAAGCTATGTCTTGCAGGGGACTCATCACTGCATGACCAATCAAAGGTATTTGTCGTAAGCTTATGAACGACAACAGAAAGAATTGGTGTGACTGGCCTGTATTTAGCCACCAACTTTGCAGTAGTCCCTCCTCGAGTTAAAACCAATATGAGAGCAGCTCTAGCTGAGTTGGCTGTTCTAACAACAGAAGAAGCTAGACTCTCTGATGGACTCATAGGAACTGGTGAGTGATGCATTATCCTTTTAAACATGTCTCCATAGTCAAGGGTGCTCTCAACTTCAACACATATTTTAGCCATAGTTCGAACAACAAGTTCTGGATAAGCTCCAGCAGTTGTCTCACCACTAAGCATCACACAGTCTATTCCATCCAGAACTGTATTTGCCAAAGATCTCACTGAAATTGTTTACATGATGCAAGAATGGTGTCCCCTGCACTGCAAAAGATTATTGTTAAAAAATATATTCTTTGGCTTCAAGTAACAAAGTATCAATAGGTTCCTCGGCTGAGCAATTTAAGAACACGCCATCAGATTAACCAAATAAATTCCCGAATGAATTGTCATTTTCAACATGTTGCAAATTGCAATATACATATATACCTTGCTCAACCACGCCAAGAGTTACATCCTATGAACATATCATGGCAGGTAAAATCCGGGTTGATGAAGTGCTTGATTTTCTGCAACGATCATATTGAATCTCCCAAACCTCGCTTTCAAATATTGACTGGACTGTCGTGTTGCCATCCTCATTCCCTGCTCCTACTCCTGCTCTTTGAAAGTATAATTAGTTTTTGTTGCCACATAAGATCAGAAGCCAAAACAGTACCTAAGGATCTACATCACCGCAGGCCTCTTAGAATCTGAATTCCATGAAAATATTAGCTTATAAATCCAAACAGTGTTTACTTGGTGAGTAAGTAACATCATTAATATGTACCATAGAGAAAATTAACCGGCGCAGTTGGAGAAACATGAGTCCCTTGTCTGGTTATTATAGATTTCAAATTGAATTCAACCGAGACTATAGCAGTGGAGGAGATATTAGCAATCTGCATTAACAATTAGTCGGAAAAAAGTTGTGTAAGGAGAAGAGATACAGTTGAAAAGCATTCATATGATCACATCCAAGAATTAACAAACCATGAATCCGAATCTACGATTTCCAAGATTTTCTGCACTAGTTGGAACGAGTGAACCACGACTAATGTTGAGAGAACTCATAACTTCCATAGATGAATTTACAATTGGAGACGAGAAGTACAAATACACCTTTAGCTTGTTAAGGTCATTAGTTGCCTGAATTGTTCTAGTTTCACTGTTAATTCGAAGTAGCTTTTCAGGTACACGAGTCCTGATGTTGACATAAACCTTTCTTCTGTCTGTGGATCATATTTTCGAACATCAAATCCTCGTGAATTACTAATTATATCCAGTACTAATACCGCTAGAATGACAGAAGAAAGATAGCACTCACCAATATGTAGATGAACACTCGAATTCGCCATTCTTGTAAAGCTGTTACCAGCTATGTCAGTACAGAAACTCCTATCCATTACCAGGATTGCTCGGCCGTATTGAACGGTAGGAGATAAACTAACAAGAAGAGAATACATGAGGTTTGGCTTCAGAACTCTAAAGGAAGATGGTACAACCTGGCCAGCACCATAGACAAGAAGCTGCAAAGAAATATAACAGCAAGAAGTTAAAAATGGATCTAATATTATGGTAACACAGTACTCGCTCCGTCTTGTTTTGAGAAATCTAAGCAATTGTAGATGGACATATGCTTACATTGCAGGCATTCACAGACTTGCATCCAAAACCTTCACCTATACACGGTTCGGTGAAAGATATATTTACCGAAACATTTGAAGAACTTGTGAAAGTTGTTGAGGCTGTAACATATGCTGTTGGTGGAATTGTGTCTGAAAAAGTTAAAAATGATTTTTATCACTCCAAAGACACAAAAGCATGTAAAAGGCCAAATTCATCGGCAATAACAGACTGATAAATAAAAACATAGGAATGAAGTATGGTTTCTTAACCAACAGTCCAGTTGTAGCTAGCACAGCCCACAAAACTATGATTTCCATTGGTGCAGACTTCAAAACCATGATTTCCATCTTGCAAGCTTGAGTATGTAACTCTCCCGTTCGTGCAAACTGACGCGACCCCATCATCAAGCTGCACACATAGTAAGCTTAGAAACAAAACAACTTATTGGCCTAAATATCGACGAAACCATTAGAAAGTTACAAACTAAACATAATCTTACAGAAACTTAGTGGCATACAAACCTTACAACTGAGGCTGCAATTTGAGCAAGTACGGTTACTACCAGAATTAAGAACTTCAAAAGCAAATGTTGCTGAATTCAAGTGAGAAAATGCATGAGGTGCTTTCAAGAATTTCAGAGTTACATCTGAACTTCCACATTTGGTAATGGAACAAAGTGTTGATAAAACCAAACAGAATATAAACAAACGTAATACTCTAAGCAGAATCATTTGTTTTGAAACACAGTTTGTGAATTGGTGCCAGTTATGTGTGAGACAGTGTTGTTATTGTGTAGTAGTTGGATTTTAGCATGAAAGAGAGGTCATAGAGACAAATTTGATGAATTAATTTCGTTAAGATAGTGTACCATAAATGATGGGTTTGAGTGTCTTCAATATTTCACATTTTAGTGGTTATTATATAGTCATTGCATTATGGATAAGTCAGTGAACTTTGAGTGCATTGTGTGCCTCTGAATTGTGGCCGTTGCCGCGTGTTACACTCATACGATATTAATTTATATATAACACTCATACTTCTCGATCTAACGGATCATAATTTACTAATGATAAAACTGTAAGGGTCTATGTAGACGCAATGTTATATCACTTGATAAATAATTGAAGTTGAAGGAAACAACAAACACCATAAATGTAACTTAAAATTCTTGGTATGAACATGAAAATCAACATGAAAATCAATGGATAAATAAAAAGAAAGAAAATGTTAGTCCAATTGAGTGATGGTCCCACAAAAAGATAAAAGAGAAGCAAAGACAAAAACATGAATGGAGACTAGAGATGTTTTATTCTGTGACAATCACATAGTGACAAAATGATTTGAGAATGCGATATAAAATGTCTACTGAGCTCAACCTTAGAAATATTATCCCTCATGTCCCGTTTCTTTCTATAATAATCTTATCATAGTAGAACTCTACTCTCCCATGCCATAGACATAAAAGTATTAATGCAATCACTCACATTCAGATCTCCTATAAAATTGAGAAAAACAATTACCACCATAAAATTTATATATATAGCGTGTCAGATGAGAACTGATATCACGGGTAATTTACTTGATCTCGAATCTTTCAAGCTTTATGTTCTATTTCACGGGTAATTTACTTGCTAAAGTTTCCTACATGTGAGATTGTTCCAAAGTTTCCTACAGTATCTGAAGTAATCCTTGTTCCCTTTCAGCACCTCCCTATGTAATTTATGGACAATTAGAGTTTAATTGGACAGAAAAAAGTGACCACCAACAACACCATTATTTTATAGGACACCTCACTTGTCAATGTTGATTATTGTCAGTTAGAGATAAAACACTGACATCAGTTCTAGAACAATTGAGATTTCAAAATTAATAATGTAGTTTAGTTCTATAATGTGAATGATTAAGTGGTTAACTTTATCTTCAGGACCTTTGACAATAATGGAATAAAGTTTAATAACTTGGGTGAAAGCAATATAAAGCAAAAACTGTTCATATGCATCAATTTCTAGATGAAAACCTTTATCTTCTCTATAACCCTAATTTTCATCAAGCAAAGTTACATTAAGATAAAATTATAGCTAACACAATAAGGGTTTTTGCTTCTGAATTGAATCATAGAAATAAGAAACATAACCTGTTTGATAGCACTGGAAACAGAGAGAGTGGTGCTTTGATTGAGGCATTCAACACCAATCCAATCTATGAAGCCTAAGAGATCAACCTAATCAAGAGTATATGAACTAGGTTAGAACTTGTGTACCCTAAATCAAATAAGATAAACTTGACGATGATCATAATAGTGAATGATAGAGTTTGAATCTTACTTGACCCTTGTGAATAGCGGTGGCGGATTCTCCAGACATTGCTGCTGATTTGTGCGACACGGAATACCTTCTTTGTGCGACTTCAAAGAGAGATCTTCCCCTTTGCTTAGCAATCGAAGGAGGCCAGTACGAAGACCTCTAGAGGACATTTGATGCTTTCGATTGGATATCTCAGATCTGACACGTAGTCGTCTTTATGTACAAAGGAGTTTGTGATTCTGAAAAGAAAAGGAAATTGCGGTAGAATTTGAGAATCTTAGCGCGTGAATTGAAAGAACGTTACGAAAGGTTGAGAACGATCATAAATCTGAGCGGGGTCGGTTCTTAAACCGTCGTGGGATATGATACGTTCCAGCCAAAGGGACGGTGAAAGGAACCGTCGTGGGATATGCTATAATTCTATTTTTTATTGAATATATATTGACATTACTATTATATTATTTAAATACTACTAATATTAATATAGTTACTATTATATTATATAACTACTATTAATATAATTAATAGTTAGTAAGTAATATTATAATACTAATATTATAATTAATTAATTACTATTATTATATTTAATTAATAAAAGTGAAAAGATGGAAAAATAAAACAAATGGAAAAAGTGAGAAAATAAAATAATAATAAAATAATAATTATGATTGGTCAAAGTAGTCGCGACAATCTGTTATACTGGTCGCGAGTGTGGAAAGAGGGCAGTTCTTTGGCAACTGTCTCAATTATGTTACTCAATATGCTTAAAAATCTACGACGGTTGACTCTAACTGTCGTGACAACTGTCGCAGTCCAAGAATAAGGACAGATTTATGGGAACCGTCGCAACTCATGTGTCGTAAAACTCATTTTTTCTTGTAGTGAATGTCAGGTAACTGCCCCCATGCTAAATTCTTCCCTTCTTTTATTGCGGCCCTTGCGTCCTCCAGAGATGCCATCCTGGCCATCTGTCTTGGTGTCTCAGCTGCCAACTTTGCTACTGCTATTCAGGAAGGACTTCTTCAAAATGTTGAAACGGTGTCTCAATGAACTCTCCTTCAACCTCCACATACCGGAAAGAATTTAAGTGGCTAATCATGTACTCTTCTTCGCCATGGACAGTGATGATCTTTCCCTTGACAGGATACTTCAACATCTGATGTAAGGAGGAGGTGACTGCCCCAGCATGGTGTATCCAAGGCCTACCCAGCAAGCAGGAGTATGATGGACGGATGTCCATCACATAGAAAGTAGACTTAAACACCTCAGTGCCTATCTTGATGGGAATTTCAACCTCTCCATGGACCATTCTCTTCGAACCATCGAAAGCTCTGACAACAATATCACTCGGCTTCAATTCCAATCCCTTGCAATCTAGTCGGTCCAAGGCCTTTTTAGGCAACACATTCAGCGACGAACCAGTGTCAACCAAGATGTCTGCGAGAGTAGTTCCTCGACACTCGACTGAAATGTGCAAAGCATCATTGTGATTCCTACCTTTAGGAGTTAGGTCAGCATCAGAAAAACCTAATCCATTGTCCGCAGTCAGGCTAGCCACGCAATTCTGAAACTGATCCGCAGAGGTTTCCTGGGGCACATGGGCTGCCTTCAGGAATTTTATCAGGGCTTTAGCGTGCGCTTCTGAGCAAAGCAGTAGTGCCAGCATGGAGATCTTGGAGGGGGTTTGCCCCAGCTGTTCTACTACATCGTAATCACTTCTTTTGATTATCCTCAAAATCTCATCCATTTCCTTCTTGGAGGTTTCCGGGATTACCAAGGGTTGAGCCCTCGTCCTGACGAGCTCATCTTGGATTCCCTTACCTTTGTCAGCAGCGGTAGGAGAGACAGTGCTAGGAACAACAACGTCTTCAATTAAAGGAGTTCTAGCAGAAAGTTTTATTGGTGCCGGGATGACCTTGTCAGCTGATGAGGGTCCAAAGACTGCTCTTGGAGGGGCAATCTCTGGAGAAAATATTCTCCCGCTCCTAGTGATTTTGCTAGTGCCCGCAATGTTACTAATGCTGGCTTCTTCATCATCCGAACTTTCTTCAGTTATTTCGATTTGTTTGATACCATGGTAGTAGACGTCACCGCCATAGTTCCAAGGTATCGACTTCTCAGAAACATAGGGAACATGCCCTGGCATTGTTATCTTCAAAGGAACAGATTTCGTAGCCGGTGTAATCTTAACAGGCTTTTTGACGGCCTTGGAAAGATTGGCGTGAATGGTTATGATTGAGACATCTTTAGTATGAACTGGAACAGCAGAAACCTTTTCAAACAAAATTTGTCGACTATCCATAAGGCCTTGGATGCCTTTCTTCAGTAACGAACAATCAAACGGCAGAGAGTAACAACAATAGCAGTCTTCCTTACATCCCGGGAAGATCCCGGCCCTCAATAGGTTCAACTTAATGGTTAGCAATGGAGTAGTCAGATCGCTGACATCAGCAACGTACAAATCTTCTTCAATGGCATTGACATTTCGGCCGTGCTTCGGCATGGGTGCAGATATCACATTAGGCTTCTCTGGAGCGTCAAACTCTACCTCCTTAGCCTCTATCAGGTCTTGGATTTTATGCTTGAGTGCCCAACAATCATTGGTGTCGTGTCCAACACTGTCTGAATGGTAGGCGCATTTAGCATTGGCATGATAATGCGGAGATGACGTATTCACATTCTTTGGTGCCTCCTTGATGGTGGCGAGATTCAACTTTAATAGATGGGGAAGCACTTGCGCTGGAGTCATATTAATACGGGTGAACTGCCGTTGTGGCCGTTCCACCCGTTGTTGATTTGGTCTGGACTGGTTATAGCGAGGCTGCTCATTTGGAGTGTTTTGAATCATTACGGCCCCCACAGTTGGCCGACGCTCCGTCTTCCCTGCTCTTCTCTGAGAATATACCATAGTTGTTTCCTTCTTAAAAGGTTTCTTCTCAACACTTGCAGCAACACCCTTCTGAATCTTTCCTGACTTGATGCCAGCTTCTATTCTTTCGCATGTTAAGATCAAATCGGTAAACCCCACGGAAGAGTTACCAATTAGATGATTAAAAAAAGGCCCAGATAGGGTTCCTAGAAACATATCAACGAGCTCACGATCAGTTAAAGGAGGCTGCACCCTGCCAGCCAAATCCCTCCATTTTTGTGCATATTCTTTGAATCCCTCGCCTGTTCCTAGTGACATACCCTGAAGTTGGGTACGAGTAGGAGCAAGGTCAGAATTATACTGGTATTGCTTGTAGAAAGCGGTGGCCAAATCTTCCCAATTTCTGACACTGGTTCCTTCTAGCTGATAAAACCACTCCAACTGAGCTCCCAAAAGGCTGTCTTGAAAGAAATGAATCCAGAGGTTTTTATCTGCCGTATAGGGTTGAATCTTTCTTACGTAGGACCTGAGATGCATTTTTGGACAGGACAACCCATCA